AGCAAGAACGCTCGTTTTTACATCATTCCAGAGATAACTAAATGGCCTTTATTCGAAGTTTCTCAAGAACCATTCGAGCCACAGAATTCGTTTTAGCATCTTTGGATAGAGAATTGAAAACCCGATTGAGTCGTAACAACGTGAGTGAGAAAAGTCGAGTAGTTTTGACCCACAAAGCGAAATTTGAATATCACACACTTAAGTACAAGATTATGCCAAAATTTCATGTTTTCCGTCCCATTTTTGCTCATTTCTCGGAGGCAAAATTAGCAAGAACGCTCATTTGTACATCATTCTAGAGATAAATAAATGGCCTTTTTATAAAGTGAACCATTGATAAGGAAATATTGGCAGTTTTCTCAAAAAATGCTTAAATTCAAGAAGTTTTAGGTTTGCGTGGTTTTTTGAGTTGCAAAATCCACTTAAACATGACGCTGCTTTTTAACATTGAACATGAGGTGCAAGATTATGCCAAAATTTCATGTTTTCCGTCCCATTTTTTCATTTTGCAGAAAGGAGCAAGAACGCTCATTTGTACATCATTCTAGAGAGAAATAAATGACCTTTTTAGAAAGTGAACCATGGATGAGGAAATGTTGGCAGTTTTCTCAAAAAATGCTTGAATTGACGAAGTTTTAGGTTGGCGTGGTTGTTTTTTGAGTTGCAAAATCCACTTGAACATGACGCTGCTTTTTTCGAAGTTTCTCAGGAACCATTCGAGCCACAGGATTCGTTTTGGCATCGTTGGATAGAGAATTGAATGGGGGGTCATGACCCCATGGATCCGCCCTTGAAACCACTGTTTCAAAAGGGTCTTGACCCTTTTGTGTAGCGAATGCTAGAATTTCTCATCAATAGAAAGTTGAAACATTTGATAACAGAGCTAAAATCGGGTCTCTGACAGGGTCATTTATATGGTGCTTAAACTCACTTCGCTGTAGAGCTAGCAATTTTTATGTCGGATTACACCAAATGTCATAGACGGGAGGTGGGTCGAAATGATTGGTCCTGACAGGGTTCCCAACTCTCACTTATGGCTCGTAGTGCCACACCCCTGGCAACTGTATTTACCTACAGGCTAAACTAAGTGAGGGTAGGATATGTCGGAAACGAACCCACCAACAAGGGGTAAGTTCCCATGTTACATCTAACCCAGAGTGGGCGGCTGCAAACAGCGTCTGTTTCTCTATGTCAGGAGCGGCTGATACAAAATCAGAAAACAACGGCAACTAACGGAAAACCACTCTGATGTTTATTTTCCAGGAAAAAAATCACAATGGCAGTACAACAAAATAAAATGGCCCCTAGTCCCTGGTAGGACTTGGTGGACAGACCTGGACGGTGTCCAAATAATCCCCGGGATGAAAACATTTAAAACAGAATTTAAGATTGCGACATAAAACGTGAAAACGCTATTTGAAGCGGAAAAACTTGCAAACATATGCCACGGAATAGACGGGTCTTGGTCATCCGATTGTTGGGCTTAAGCGAAGTCAGATGGTCAGGGTCAGGAACAACTAAAACATTAAACAAAACATTATGTTACTCCGGTAGTAATGAGCCTTACCACCGCAATGGAGTCGGGGTGATTCTGGACAAGAAATTTAATCGGGCAGTTGTAAATGTTGTTCCTGTCCCTGATTGGAACCTGCTAATCCAACTATCGGGAAAACCAATAACCATAAACATCATACAGCGCTGCGCTCCCACAGCTGGCAAACTCATAAAAGGACTCGAGGGCTGCTACAAAGAGTTGGTTAAAGTGACTACAGTGACTATTAAAGAGAAGCAGGATCTCACCTTTATTATGGGAGACTTCAATGCCAAGTTGTGCCAAGGAAGTGTCGGACCTAATTGTAGAGCTTGGGCTGGGTGATAGAAATGACAGGGGCGAGAGACTCATTCAATTCTGTCAACAACACAACATGGCAGTATCAAATACATGGTTCAAACCCCACCCTCGCAGACTTTATCCATGGATATCACCACAGTATACGAGTGTCAGAACAGTTCGAAACCAGATTGACTTCACAATGGTCAACAAAAGATACCACAACTCGATCATCAATGCTAAGACATATCCTGGGGCCGAAATTGGTTTGGATCACCGTCCTGTTGTTGCTAGAATCCGGTCCGGATAGAAAAACACGAAAAATCCGAAACCTTTTAGGAAACCAGATGTTGGACTGGAAAACCAAATTTTGGAGATGCCACTATAAAACAGTGGGTGAAGAACTAAATGAACATCTTGCAATCGTACCTCGTGACCCAGCATCATCCACTAATGTAGACAGCATGTGGAAAACCATAAGATATATGTCGAACGGGACAACCAAGAAACAAAAGAAATTTAGAGCCGGCCCCGAGAAGAGCATGATTGGATGGCAGAGAAGATTTTGAATTTAATGGACGCGAGGAAGGAAGCGAAAGTTGCAAACAACGTAAAATACTACAGCTTCTCAACAGAACCACTCGTACAAAAATAAAATGCGCTAAAGAAAGCTGGATGGAAAGTAAATGTTTCGAAATCGAAGATCTACAACGGCGACACGACTTTTTCAACCCCCCTATGAGGGTGAAACGGTGAAAGAATTTACATCGACGAACAGGAAATCCACAATCCACAGCATACGTAACCCAGATGCGAAACTGTTAGACTCCATGAAGAAAAAACGGGGAAATGGGAAAATACGTCAAGAACCTATTTGAGGAACAAAATTCCAGAACCTGACGAACTCTACCCTGAAATATTAAACTAATCAGCGCGAAGAATACGGACTTACTTGTCACCCTGTTTATACAGGGTTGCTCATTAGTGCGTCAAAGTGCGATATCTCAGTAAATATGAACTTTACAAGAAAATACGTCCTACGAAAGTTTTTCATGTTTAAAAGGTCCACATTTTAAAATTACTTTCCAATATATGGGGTGTATCATAAACGTGTGGTAGTTACCAACTTTGGTTTTTTAAATGGAACCGCCCCTTTTTTCATTCATTTTCAGATTTGTCGTCAAAATTTAAGTTAAGTTTGTGTCAAACGTTTTACATCATAGAGAGTTCGTACTTTGATCAGTAAACATCGTGCTACGCATTGCGCTCTGCAGAAACACAGTGTTGTAAATCGAAGTTAAAAACTATCTACAAGAGTTTATTCTTGGCTTGCTGAAAGTTTTGAACTACGCTGCTTCTAGT